TGCACCTTGGAGCGCGGCGGCTTCTTTGGTATCGGGGGAGGCACCTTCTTCTCCTCCTGCACAGACAACGGGGGCTTCAGGGTGGGCGTGGGGATGGGACCTCTGGGGAACGGGCATCCGGGTGGGCTTGGCACGGCCAGCCGGTGTGTGGGACGTGCGGGGTGCTGCCGTAGGTGGCAAAGCCAAAGCCCCAGCGAGAGGGCCCGGTGCCCCTCCTGCACCACACCAAGTCGCAAGGCAGAGCTGCGTGTCCCTCCGTCCGTCTGCACTGGCGCGAAGGCACCCGCGGCACGCTGCCCCTGCCCATGCCAAGACCTGCCCGGCCCTTTGCAGGCAGCGCTGCCCAAAACACCCGGCGAGCCAGCAGCAAGACCGCGGTGGGGGAACAGCCCCTTCTTATAGCCTCGGCTTTTTCCAGCTCTGTTTTTCAAGTGTTTGCTAAAAACAGTGACTGGCGACAGCCCGGCAGCAGCGGTTTGGGCGCAGATGTGCTTGGGGAGGAGGAGGGAGGGAGAGGTGACAGGGGACAAGTGCCTGTGGCAGAGCCCTGCCCTTACCTTGGGCTCCATGATCTTCCACCCGTTGGCCTTGAGCTGCTGGAGCTCTGCGAACTTCATGCTGACGTCCTCAATGGAGAGCTGCAGGAGGTCCCAGAAGCCGGCCAGGTCTTGGAAGGTGGGCACAGGGAACGCGTTGGGATCCTGTGGGGAGAGAGTGTCATCCATATCCACCTGTGGGACATCGGCTTTGCTGCCCACGTGGCCATCCCACCCCCACGCTGCTGGGGGGCTCTCTGTCCAGCTCTCCCCCATGGCATTACAAAGTCCCTTTTCCATCACCTCTGAGCCCCCCCGCCTGCCGTGGCCGACCCCGCGGCACCGCTGCCGGCACTCACCATGTTCTGCTGGCAGAGGCGATAAAACTGCTGCACCTTCTGGGACATGAGGAGCTGGGCGCTGCCCACGGCGCTCCGGATCTTCTCCAGGACTGGCGGGGGGAGAGCAGACGGTCAGTGCTCCCATGGGGCACGGAGCCTCTCTCCCCTGCGGGGCAGGGACCTGCACCCCCCTGGGGGCAGCAGGGCAGCCTGGGCAGCTCGGACCCCCCCAACCCACGTGGCATCTCCTCCCTCCCCTAGACTCCAGCAGTGCCAGAGAATTTCCTGCTGTTTCTTTCCCCCACCCAACCTCTTCAGCCTCGGCAGGGGAGATGCTCCAAGGCAGTCCCAGGGTGGGAGCAGTGCAGGACTGGGGCTGTGCCCCCCGAGCTCTACAGAACCCCCCCATCCCTCCCAACCCTGCAAAGCCCCTGACTCACTCTCCTCCGGCAGGTCGTAGTCCTCAGCCTCCCTCTCCATCTGCTGGCACCAGCCCTCCATCTTCTCCACCTCCGCCTGCAGCAGTTTGATGAACCATTCCCCATCGCGGTGGCAGGGGGAGGCACGGCCGGAGTCGGGGAGGCTGCGGGAGCCCCGCTCCATCCAGGCATCCCGCCGGGGCACCTCCACCGTGTCGTACTGCAGCTGATAGTCCTCCCGGTACGCCCACTGCCCCTGCGTGTGCACCGTCTTGTACACCGCGTACTGCCGGCCGGACTCAGGCTCTGAGGAGTGCCGCTGGAAGGGGCGCCCAAACTGCAGGGCTTTGTCCTCGGTGGCCACGGTCAGGCCGGTGAAGCCCTCCAGCTCCAGGTCTGCCTGCACGCCTGCCGTCACGCTGTTGGAGCGCTTGAAGCGTGCTCGCCTGCAGAGAGGGAGAGCGCGTGGGGACCGGGTACCATGGCGGGCAGGGGCAGGGTGAGGGATGCCCGCGGGCGGGATGGGGCTGGGGATGCCGGTCTGGATCTCGGAGCATTTGGGGCCGCGGGGACAGCCCTGAGCAGCCGCAACCTGCAAGTCCCTCATTCCCTCTGCTCTTAGCCCGTTTCCATGGCTACCGGCGCTGGACCGAGGATGGAGAGGAGCGTGCACCGGGGCTGCGTGGGCACGTTGCCGGAGCTCCTCTCCTGCAGGCTGTGCAGGTCTCAGCACGCAGCGCTCCCACCCCGGCCCAAACGTCATGTTTAGCTGCAGAAAAGCCCAAAGGTTTCATCTGCGCCTGGGCCAGGCTCAAAGCGCAGGGCTGAGCGCCAGCGGAGGAGACCCCAGCACAGGGCGGGAGCGGGGGAGCCCCTTCCCCGGGCAGTCCGTTTGCAGCAGCGAGGTGCGAGGGCAAAGGGGAGGCAGATCCTGCCCCAGGCGGGGGCATCTGGCCTGGGACGGGGATGGTGCTGAGCTCTGGGGGCCTCAGCCAGCGGAGAGAGGGAAAAGATGCTGCAGGGCGGCTCAGGGAGCGCCAGGGGAATCCAATCCCACAGCGCAGCGAGCGTGACAGGTCTCAGCCCAGTCCGGCCATGCCGTACCTTTTGTCCTCCTCCACCTGCACCCCGATGGAATGGAACTCCCTCTGGCTCCGGCTCTCCGTATCTGAGTCAGAGATGGCCTCGACCTGCCGAGGGGCAGAGGGAGAGCGCTGGAGGGTAGCCCCGAGATGCGTCATGGCGGCTCAGCATCGTCCGTGCTACCGGGGCAGGCTCAGAGCCAGCTCAGAGCCCACAGGGAGGAGAGAAGCCCACCTGGACACCGATGGAGGGGCGCCACTTGCGCTGCCGAGCCAAGCTCCTCAGCTCCTCCCGGCCGGGGATGGCCTTGATGATGAGTGTGGAGGGCTTGGGAGCGCCACGGGGTTGGACTGGGGGCAGGTCGAGGGTCACAGTCGTCACCTTGGAGCTCTCCAAGCTCTCGGCCGAGTTGCAACGGGCCGCGGTGTCTTTGGACCAGGCGGGGCTGCGGGCGACCTCGCCGGGCAGGTAGCTGTCATGGGTAGACTCGGTGCTGCTCTGCGCCGTGACGGAGATGAGGGGTTTGGCTTTGGTTCCTGGAGGGATGGGAGGTGGAGCTTTTCTGTAACTGAAGGCTGTTGTGGGAGAGGCGCAGGATGAAAAGGCGCGTGAAAACACAGACACTTGCTCATTTCCCGCCGCGAACGGGGGCCCTTGGGGAACAGGGGTTTGCACCTCGGCTGCCCGAGATCTGGGCTGGAGCTCAGAGGGGCTCTTTGGCCAATTCATCCCCAGAAAGGGACTGGAAACCACCCCAGACCCATGCCACCCACACCGCTGCAGCACCCAGCGAGGGGCAGAGACGGGGAAACAAAGCAGGGGGAAAGAAATGGAGGGAAGGAGGGAATGGCGGACGGGTGCTGGGGGCACAGAGCAGCCCTCTGGCCAGGGATGAGCCACCAGCAGGATGCTCTTGTCCTGTGCCGGGGGCTGCAGGGGGCCGGGGGCAGAGCAGGGGTAGCACAGCCCTTGGTGGGTGCCTGGGCAAGCAGGCAGGGAGATGCAGGGGTCCCTCGCGCGGCCAAGCTCCCCCACCCCCGGGGACGCACAGGTGCTGGGCTTCAGGATGCTGCTGGTGATGGGCGGCCCGGCGGGGGCCGACATGGAGAAGAGTGAGAGGCAGTCGTCGTCCTGGGAGCAGCCCGCCTGGATGGCCCGCAGGTAGCTGTGGGTCCCCACTGCGGGAGCGGACGG